AACGGATCATTTACTCAAATCCTTATGTATATTGACATAAATACTATTAAACAGAATGCGCTGTAGAAGTGATGGTTAAATCTCACTATTTGGTCAGACAAGAAGAGTTGAGTGGGTGGTGTTCACTAAATGTCTTTCCTTTACTGATTAGTCCAGTCTATCAGTTCAAAATTTGGGACGACAAGCGCAGGTAGCCCCCGTGTAGCTTTCCTCGAAATTTCTGATAAAAACAGTTTCTAATTTTCAGTATTTATTAATGTTATATGATGCTTTCTATCATTTCAGAGTCAAAAGACGACATATAAACCATAACTGAGATGTGTATTATGAGACTAACAAGAAAGAAAATAAAGTTATCCATTGCCAGTTTCTGTAATTATCCTTTTACTAATAACGGAAAATGTCTGTGGTCATAGTATCCAAAGGCGTTAGGGATATTCCATCTATAAGACTTGATCCAAACACAACAGTTAAACTAGTTAGCCGTTACGGAAGAACAAATTATGGGTTTGGAATTGAGTGCTTTGACCCACAACGTTTCTACTTCTATTGCCTTTCGCTGTCTGCAGTCACACCCGACATATTGACATAAATTACAGGCGTTAAAATAATCTATATTAATAAAATTGTAGGAATTCCAACCTTCGGGAATGGGGAAATAAAATCCATTCTTTTTCAAAAATGGTTAACTTCACTCTGCCGTCCACGAAAATAATATTTAAATCTAAGTATTGCAAACTATTATAGCTGCTATTACTTTTCTATTATAAGTTATTTTGGATATATATACGAGTTGTGTCAAAGTTTACATTATTAACAGAAATTAGATCTTCAACATAGCTTAAGTTATAATTGTACAAATTAGAATTTATTGCTTGTTTCAAATATAAATTTTCAAAGAAGTACAGATACAAGTTAGCCATGTTTGGGGAGAAATTAGCTCCCATCGAAATACCAACTGTTTGTTTAAATACTTGTTCACTAAAAACAATTATTATACATACAGAAATTAAGTATATATTTTTATACAAATTCTTAGTAAACTTGCATTTAGGAATAACTGTCTGTATCTAAATAGTGATCAGTTAAATAACTGAAAACTCTGATCAAATGTTTTAAATGTAATTTAGTACATAATGTAGCAAAATTATAGTTAAGAATACAAATAGCTGATTTCAAAGAGATTAATTTCGTTAAACATTCCAAAACTGGTAAATTATTTTTAATACCCCAAAAATAGTGATTCGAATTATTTAGTGACATTAATTTCATTTTTGTAAATAGAACATCCAGAATTTTATTAAGGGTGCTAGAAACTGGGGTTTTCCTAGTGTGCAGTTGATAACAAATTATACATATTGTTACTACAGCGGAAGTCACGTGACGCTGGTAACACGTAATGAGTATCTCGAACGTTCCTCAAGGCTAGAGTGTTTGCCAGACGCCCTCTATTTTGTATATATAAGACCGCCGAGAAGTGACTGCATAGATAATTGAATAGCAGACAGGGAGATAGAAACAGATAATCGAGTCAAGCCGTAAGTAAAGTGTGTAAATCGTTGTGAATTATAGCGTGTGTTTAAGTTAAAGTGACTGTGGAAATTCTTTGTATTTCAAAGTTGTATTGAGGAAGAATAAACTAGTTTTATTAAAGAAAGGGCTTGTATCGCTGAAGTTCCTCGGGAAGAATTTTTACGAGAAATTATCAAACGAACAGAGACGTAACAATATGTAAAAATATTTGTAAAGTTGAAAATTCACCTATATAAGTAAGTTCAAGTGGTTAATAATAATAAAAGACTATAAACTTCCATTCCAGGGTTGATAATTAAATGTATTTACTAGAATATTCTTCATTTGATGGATCGTTATGTTACTAGGCCTGTATATATGAGGTGCAATAAGACGTCATGTATTTAAAAAATGATGAAGTTAAAATATAATTGTGCAGTTGAAAAAAATCCTTAGGATTGTTTGTTTGTTTTGAATATCGTGCAAAGCTACATGAGGGCTATCTGTGCTAGCCATCCTTAATTTAGCAGTGTAAGACTAGAGGGAAGGCAAATAGTCATCACCACCCACCGCCAGCTCTTGGG